CCCTGGGTATGAGCTGACGTGCCATTTAAATTGATTGGTTGCTGGTGTCATGTGACTGGTGAACTTTGCAGTATCCCTGGGTATGAGCTTACGTGCCATTTAAATTGGTGGGTTGCTGGTGTCATGTGACTGGTGAACTTTGCAATATCCCTGGGAATGAGCTTACGTGCCGTTTATGTGCTGAATGGATTCCTTAATTGAGTCAAGTAATTGTTGAGTGATGCAACATCCAGGGAGTGAGGGAATGCGCCGTCCAATTGGAAACCTGTGCCCCTGGGTATCACGCAAGAGGCTGATGATAGCCGTCTTTATTTAACAATGACCTAAAAATATCTGTCAGTTTCATTGGTGGATATCGAGTGGGTGTGTACACAAAGAGATCACGTGCAAAGAGATAATATGCAAATGTCGATACCAAAGCCGTCATATATAAGATTTTGCATGTGAGGGTTTCATCAGATTGATGACGTGGCATTCAGCCTTTGCATGCCTTCATTTTATGAAGTCTGCTCGCAAACATTGAGTTGTACTCAATGGACTGGAGTTTTTGCATCCTTTAGAGTGTACAAGTGCATGTACATGTACATACCAGTAGTGTAATGTACCAGTAGCCCTCCATTGTGCCCAAAAAGGTAAGAGTTTTAAGCTGCTTTATCCGATGAGAAATTCAAGTATTGTGGAACTTTTCACGATTCTGAACTTGTATTTGAAACGTCTTCTTCACAGTTTGGCATCAGGGTGACTGTAGCCATTCACGTACATGTACTCGCGTAACTGCTAGAGAGACTTTGCAATTTGTGGTACCCTATTGTTCCCCCTCAAAAGCAAAGCTGGAATCTGTACGGGCAGCAAGAATGTAACCCTTTATGGCAGAGCAAGATACTTGAATTTCTGATTGAAAAATAATGAAAATGTCGTGGTTCATTAGTTACATTTACACAATTCTGAACTTGTATTTGAAATGTCATCTTCACAGTTTGGTATCAGGGTGACCGTAGACATTCACGTACTCGCGTAATTGCTAGAGGTACCCTATTGTTTCCCCTAGGGCAGCAAGAATATTTTACCGTTATAAATGCATTACGGCAGAGTAAGAGAGCAATGGTTTTGTATCACTAGGATAGGCATGAGTAAACTTATTGTGCTTTCATAAGGGAATAAATAGGTGCTTGGCTGGTTTTAAACACTATGTTTAAGACTGGTTTGGAGTGTGGACAAAAATTGAAGTATACAAGAATACATTGTTTGGATATCAGTATTACTTTCGAAATATTCTTTATTTTTTGAGTTATGGGCAGGTCATTACACCATTGTTCAATGTGCCTGGTTTTGGTAGGTTTGTCAACAACCTTTGTGCAGAGTGTCATATGTAATACAAAAAAAATATTATTTCTTGGGTGGAGAAAACCAGAAAATCCTATTGGGAAAATTTTCAGGGTATCAATTGAAAAAAAATTCTGAGTTGGAAAAATGGGAAGTTTTTTGGGAGTTATTTTGCTAACATCCCTACTTAATACTTACTAAGGGCCTAACTTTTTTTGAAAATACAACTACAGTTCTTCAAAAAACAAATGAATTTGGTGTCACTTTATCAGGATCTCTTTTGATTAAACAGACTAGTTTGTTTCTGCAATAAAGTAGTTGATGCCCCGTAGCTTACAGAAGTTTGGGAAAAAGAAACATTCTGCTACACCTACTAACTATAGTTCAACACAATGTCAGTGAGTGGAATGATGTGATTTTGTCTGATTCCACGTTGCAATATTACTTTCAGTATTGTCCCCAGTTTTCGTCCTAATTTTTATGTTTTAATGGCTACGGTAGTTGTTAAGGTCATACACAGAGATAAACTAAATCTGGCCAAAAAAACCTTCAAGAAAGATCAACCGTTAGCCAAATGTATGTGCACAGTGCATTTGTGTGTAGTGAGGGGGCGTGACATCAGTGCACAGTGCATTTGTTTGTGGTGAGAGGGCGTGCCATCAGTGCACAGTGCATTTGTGTGTAGTGAGAGGGCGTGGCATCACTGCACATTGCATTTGTGTGTAGTGAGAGGGCGGGGCATCACTGCACGTTGCATTTGTGTGTAGTGAGGGGGCGGGGCATCACTGCACATTGCATTTGTGTGTAGTGAGAGGGCGGGGCATCACTGCACATTGCATTTGTGTGTATTGAGAGGGCGGGGCATCACTGCACATTGCATTTGTGTGTAGTAAGGGGGTGGGGCATCACTGCACATTGTATTTGTGTGTGGGGTGGAGCATCACTGCACATTGCATTTGTGTGTAGTGAGGGGGCGGGGCATCACTGCACATTGCATGTGTGTTTAGTGAGAGGGCGGGGCATCACTGCACATTGCATTTGTGTGTATTGAGAGGGCGGGGCATCACTGCACATTGCATTTGTGTGTAGTGAGAGGGTGGGGCGTCACTGCACATTGCATTTGTGATTTTGTGTGTAGTGAGGGAGCGGGGCATCACTGCACATTACATTTGTGTGTAGTGAGGGGGCGGGGCATCACTGCACATTGCATCTGTGTTTAGTGAGGGGGCGGGGCATCACTGCATATTGCATAAGTAAGTGGGGGAGGCATCACTGCTTAGTGCATTTGTCCTATTTCTTTTGATTTGGTTCAAAGGTAAAATCTTGAAGTACTTTGTTTATTTCTGTAGTGTATTTATTCAGGGCTTCTTTTGATTTTGAAAAAAAAAACCTGACGCATTACACACAAAATTACAGATAATGACACTTTACAAAGGATATGCAATCAATGACCCAAATTGTCACGGTGTGTGATTTCTGTGTGAAATCTGTGTGATTTCCTGTAGTTTCCTCAAAGATTTTGAGCTTGCAAGACCAAGATACGAGTCACAGAGGCATGCCGCGAGCGGCTCGCTAACCCATCTGTACACATACTTAATGTGGTAGAGGAATGTTAGGTGGGGAAATTGGTCATGGCTAGGCTCTGATTGACTGATACGATGGCTATATACGGTCATATGCTTGCCTAATATGGACTAGTAAACTTATCAAACAACTGCCCTGGAATCGGTCCATTTTATTTCTTAAAGAGAAGATAAAAAAATGATATTTTTATCAACAGACTCTTAAAGTTGGCTTTTTGCAGGTAATTTAGTGTAATTACTTTATGTGAAGAGTGTCAAAGGAATGGTTTGAAGTGTTTTGTTTGTTTACTTTTGTCTGGCTGGTCCAAAGTATGATTTTCAATGATATGTTTTGTTAATTATGTTTATTGTGGAATTTGTGGGTGAATACTTGGACTGATATCAGTTCCAATAGTTGACAGAATACAGTCCACCGACACCGGCGGCTTACATAAACATATGCAGGGTGATAATTACAGACGGTTCAAATGTTATCGATAAGTGGTGTTTGCATACATTGCATCAATGATGTGTCTCGTTGTTACACTTCTTGTAGGTACGCATTGATGGTATTTGCTCATCACCTTCGGTTGAAGGTACATGTATTTGTTTTTCTCAAGGTCAAAAGATAGAAGTGGGGTTGGATGGGAGTTGAATCCTTCGATGCTCAAGGGGTTGGGGAGGCAGGTGTGGCTGTCCGGATTTCATATTGGCACTATTAAGGTCCCTTCCAGACAGTGTGTGATGTTAAATGTATGATCAGCAAATAATGAGTATGGACATTCAGGCTCTGATACGGAGCATGGGGGTAAATGAGGAGAGGGAAAACATGGGCGGGGCATGCCCCTCCCTCCACACACTGCTGTTCTTGATGTTTTGAGAAACGCTGCACTACAATGAAGGACGTTGCCAAAACCTTACATCACTTTTTCATGCATCAACTATTCTGTCATTGTATCCAAGCAGTAACGGACTTGTTATCAACGTCACTGCACTGTCAGCTGCAATCATAACTTATATCAGCAGGTGCAATCATTCTAATATAAAATGGTCATTTCATGGATTTTACGTATGAATAACGCAGCTGATCTGTCCTGCTTCATGAAGCACATTCCGTCCTACTTTCTTGTTGACTGATAAATGTACTTTTAATTTCAAAATGTTTGTGACTGAATGATCCATAAAATCAATTAAGGCTTGCAATTTAAAGCTTTAAGCTCCAAATATTCAAAAGGAAGAAGCGAATTTCAACTTGTATCATTAAGTTGGTTGAAATTTTTCCTAGTCCTAGAGGGCCAGCCCAGTATCATCTTGATAGCTTACGGACTGACTGACTGACTCCTCCCGCCCCCCCCCCCCAACTAACTGACTGACTGTCACTTGTGACTATGACTAAGTGTCCCTTGTGACTGGACCAGGACTAGGTTTGCAAGGCTTGCCAATTCTTGCCTATCAAAGACAGGCATTTCCTAAGCCATACTCATGGTGCTTTTCAGCAAATTGTATTTTGGTTTACAGTTGATTTATGTTCTTTGTAATAAAAAGTAGTACAGGCAATATTGCTAATCTACCATTTAATTTGAATACGGTGGGTACCCTAGTATGGAAATGCAATAATTAAATGGAGTATAACAATAGGTCATGGATGTGCAGCAGTTCCAGCACTGACCCTCATGGATACACAATGGCGGAGATATAATGGCTTCATATTAAAACATACCAATGTCAAATAAACGGATTACTCACAAACAAATGCTGCATGTACCACGGGCACACAGCATCCATGCAAGGGCGGATCCAGAACACAATTTTTGTGGCCCCCCCCCCCAACTTTGGTCCCCCAAAAAAGTGGATCACAAAATTACGGCGTAGGGTTCGAGGCCCGATTTTTTTGGATTGTAAATGCTCTGTGGTGCGATCTGAGGCAATTTCTGACCACTTTGACCAATTTTGTTTTTGAAGAAAATATAATGTACGAAGGCCCCCGTTGCCCCCCCCCCCCCCGGATCCGCCCTTGCATCCATTTTGCTATATTGTCGTCTTCTCTGCATTGATCGTTGTCACTCATTGTCGATTTTTGTTTTTGTTTTTATCTATATGCAGGAAATAGTTTGCTTGTGTTGGAACATGGTCTTAGTCTGACCAATTATGGGAAATCCTCAGAGTAGATTCGCTCCAAGAGGTTTGTTGAAGATGGACAATCATCAGCACTATACATGTATTGCAATTTGAAATCTGCTTTACACCTGGTCTATGTATTAATGCTCAGACAAAATCTCGAAACATCCCTCACAGCACTTGAAATGTGCATGCATATGACACCCCCCCCCCCCCCCCCCCCACGGCACGCTCCGAGCGAACCGAAAATCATCGCTCGATCATATGCGTGCACGTTTCAAGTGTCAGGTTGGCTCAGTGCGGAAAGGGCATATATTTCATCATTTTAGCCCCAAAAAACGACAAAATCCAGCAATGTTTGTTCTGCACATATTTTGTGAGTATATGTCATGAGGTGTAGTGTGGAGTTTGGGGGCAAACTGTGCAGCGGTTCTGTGGGAAATTTCTGCATTTTGATGGACGTTTTTGTACTTAATAAGTGTTTTGTGCTGAAAACAATTTTGCGGAGTTCTTAATCTATGAGGCTCCACTATGTGGAGCCTCATAGTTCTAGGAGTAGCCTCTGTGGGAATTGAAAATACAAACGATGGTGGTTAGGTTCACATACCTTTGGGAAGAAAAGAGAAATTTCACCTTCAATTCAGGAAACATCCTTGTCACACACGCCTTGTTGTTAATTTGTCACCTGACCTATCACAGGGCACTTTGATTGATCACCAATCCAGGTGACCAAGCAAAGTGCCCTGTGATTGGTCTGTCTAATGCCAGTCAATTTTTCCTGAATTCAAAATGGTAGTGCTCTATTAACTGACCTTTTTAGCCATTACATGTATGTTTGTGCTCTCTTAATTTGTAAATGCCTCTTTTCAGTGCTATTTACAGTGTATAAACAAATGTAATTACATTTAATACAAATTTCTTTTCAGAAACAAACTTGGATGATGAGCACCCCCAAGTTCCAGGTACCGGTAAGTTTTAAAGCCTTTACAATAACGTACCTCATACATGTACAAATTCACGCATAGGTTCTGGGTAAGTTATAAAGCCTATACTATACCTCATACATATTCACGCCCAAGTTCTGGGTAAGTTGTAGATCCTTATATACATTTACACTGTGTAGTTATTTTGGACAAATATCAGCGAGTATCTCACTCACTTTGAACCGGAGCAACCCTCACATTGTTCCGAGGTATCTCACTGGAATCGGAGCAAACACCGCATCGTATACATGTACATGTTTCATTTCTAGCACGATGCTGCTCAGGTAGCCCCCATTGATAGCAAGAGTTTTTTACCTGCTATTTCACAAAGCAAAACCCTTGCCCTGCGTGCCTGCAGCTACCGGTACTTTTCTTCAACCGGGTTTAGTCAGTGACCATAATGCGCATGCGTCAATTGGTAACTGATTTTAAAAAATATTATAATCAAAGTCTGCCTGTGTAACAAACGTTATGTCGGAGAAGATTTCAGTATTTCCTCATGTCAAGTTCTTCAGACGATTGAATAGTTGAGCAAAAGAAGGACTTGGGTTAACAGGGCCTTTAATTACTATTCTCATTTGTGAGAAAGGATCTTCATCGATTAAAAAAAACTGTTTGAAACTCATTGAAACTGTTTCCTTCTGTCCAGTGACAAACATTATGTTCACCAGGCATCCTCCACCCTATAATTTCTTAAGGGTGTGGAAAGTTTGCTTAAAAGAACACTCAATATTAACATTGATGGTATTAAATAATAATTTGAATAAAATTTACTGAATTTGTTCATCTTGCCTTGAAATTATTAGGAACAAAAATGTCTGTCCACTTGACGAGCGTTACATCTTTACGATGTACCACCTTTCATAGCTTTTTGATCGTGAATTTTCTAGATTAAAGGGAATGTACAACATTTTGCTTTTGCTGCAATATTCAGTAATAAATGGATTTGGAGAATTAGTATGTTATAGCAAATATTGTTAAAAATGACTTGTTTCACGTTATGGGATCGTAGATGCTGGAAAAACTAAGAAAACCAATCATGTTCTTGTAGTCTGGCTCCCAGACCCCACTTAAGATGAAATGGAGCGATTTATAGACTGGGGGAATTGTAAAGTGAAAGAATCAGTCTAGCTGGCTTGTACCCCTTCACAGATGTGTAATCTATATACGGAATAACTAAATATGAAAAATTAGGGGCAGTTTTTGAAAAAAGCCAGTTTGTGTTGGAAAAATGGAGTTTTTGTTGAAAATGTCAGCACACCAGGAGCCACGATTGTACAGGATGCTTTAGACTGTCATTCCCTAACAATCCAGTAAGGTATTTTGTGATAATTTGACTATTTCATTTGTTGATGTTTGCAAATGTTGTATCTTCCCTTTAACAAGCATACAGAGCAAAGATATGTGCAAGCAAAAAAATTTAAAAAAAATTGCTGTTGGAAATCGTGCTCAATGATCAAAGTTGTAACATTTAGTGTGGACAGACCGTTTTACAGGTACGTTTAATATTTCATTTTCAGAATCAAATGTGGACGATGGGAAGCCCCAAGTTGCAGGTAAGTTATAGAGCCAAAGAGACCCTTTGCATGGTGTGTCATGACAGTGGGCAGGTATTTGTTTCTGGGTGATACACTTGATTAGGTACTTTGTGCTTGTATTGTAACTAAATTTAAATAAAACCTGCCCGCTGTCATGGCGCACCTTGCAAACGGTCTATATAGTGGGGTTTTTTTTTACAAATATTTTGATGATCAGCCATGCTGATATATTTCAATTCTATCAAAAATCTAACGCTTGTTTATTTTCGTTTATCAATGAACTACTTTTTCTACAACCAGGTTTAGTCAATGATCATAGTGCACATTTGTCAATAATTCTTAGACTCCTCTTTGAAAAATAAAGATTGTAAACAGGTTTTTAAAGTGGACAGTGGCTGGATTGGAGACTAATCTGTTTTACTTTTTTCTTCTTCATAATTTTAGAAGAGACATCTTCACCAGCAGTTGAAGACATTCCTTCTACCCATCCCAGTGAGTCGGCATATTTCATATTTTGATCTGAGACAGAGGAATCAATCAGAATCAGAGTATTTTCATTTTTCTGTTGGCTGCTTGCTGCATTTGATTTGTTTTTAAGCAGATTAGTAAGGAATTAGAGTGAGATTTGCACAGTAACCTCTGAATCCCCATTCCAGTGCTCTATTTACTGACCTGCATTGTATTCAGCCATATTTTGCGTTCTTCTGATTTGTATGCCTCTTTTCACAGTGCAGTGCTATTTTTACTGTAAAGGCAAATGCAGTACATTGAATATTATTTTCTTTTCAGAAACAAACTTTGATGATGAGCTCCCCACTGTTCCGGGTAAGTTATAAAACCTATACTATACCTCATACATATTCACGCCCAAGTTCTGCATAAATTATAAAGCCTATACTTTACCTTTAATATACATATTCGCACCCAAATTCTGGGTAAGTTACAGATTCTTACATAAATTTACATTGTGTTTAGTATTATTTGACAAATAAGATCAGTGATGTTAATTTTAATTGATGATCAGCGAGTATCTCACTCACTTCGAACCGGAGCAACCATCGTATCGCACCGGTATATACCATTCTGAGGTATCTTTCTTGCTCACTTAATTGGAATCGGAGCAAACACTGCATCGTATGAACATGTACAAGTACATGTATCATTCCGAGCGCAATACTGCTCAGGTAGCCCCAATTGATAGCAAGAGTCTTGTACCAGCTACCGGTACTTTTCTGCAACCAGGTTTAGTTAATGACCATAGTGTGCATGCATCAGTTGGTAACGGAATGATTCTTGGACTTCCATTAAAAAAAATAATGATAATCAAAGTCTGCCTGTGTAACAAACGTTATGTCAAAAAGATTTCAGTATTTCCTCATGTCAAGTTCTTCAGACGATTGAACAGTTGAGCAAAAGATGGACTGGAGTTTAGGGCCTTTAATTACTATTGTCATTTGTTAGAAAGGATCTTCATGGATTAAACAAAATTGAAACTGTTTTCTTCTGTCCCAGTGACAGACATTATGTTTATGGCATCCTCCACCCTATAATTGCTTAACGATGTGGAAAGTTTGCTTGAATGATCACTCAATATTATTACATTGATGCCAGTATTAAATAATAATTTGAATAGAATTTACTTAATTTGTTCATCTTGCCTTGAATTATGGTAAGAAAAAAAGTGTCTGTCTACTTGACAAGCGTTACTTTTTTGCGATTTACCTTTCATAGCTTCTTTGATATTGATCTTGATCTTTTTGGAATAACAAGCATTCAGAGCAAAGGTATGTGCAAGCAAAAAATTAAAAAAAATTTGCTGTTGGAAAATCCTACTCAATGTCCCAGTGTACTATTTAGTGCGGCCAGACTATAATGCAGGTACATTTAATATTTCATTTTCAGAATCAAATGTGGACGATGGGAAGCCCCAAGTTTCAGGTAAGGTATAAAAGCCTAAGACACCCTTTGCATGGTGTGCCATGACAGTGGGTAAGTCTGGGTAGGCATACACCGCGTTATGGGGAAGTTTTTTATTGTTAGGCAAATATTAGGACCGAGTTATGGGGACTTTCTGCTGTCCCCATAGCATTTTCGGTCCCCACAAATACCTTGTGGCGACGAGTGTAAGTCCCCACAACTACGGAACAAGTAAATGTGTGTTTTTGTGTGATACACTCATTGGTCTCTATTAGGAAGACAGGATAGGACACAGCACCCTCCATCTTGTGCTCGTATGCGTAGTCATCGGTGAGGGTTTGAAAGTTTGAAATGCGTTCGTCACACACAGACCATGCAGCATGCGCACGTCACGCATCCGCAGTCGCAAACATTAAACCCGCACTGTACTACCCAGCTGCTTGTGTCCACGTTTTCCGAATCTTCACTGCGTGCAAGTGTACGCGTGTCCTATCCAGTCTTACTAATAAAGATCAATGGATACACTTGATTAGGTACTTTGTGCTTGTATTGTAACTAAATTTAACTAAAACCTGCCTGCTGTCATGGCGCAACTTGCAAATGGTCTATATAGTTTTTTTGTTTTTTTTTTAATACAATTAGTAATATTTATTTTGATGATCAGCCATGCTGTTATATTTCAATTTCATCAGTTCTTTCAATCAACTGCTTTTTCTACAACCAGGTTTAGTCAATGATCATAGTGCACATGTGTCAATGATTCTTAGACTCCTCTTTGAAAAATAAAGACTGTAACTGGTTTCCAAAGTTGACAGTGGCTGGATTGGAGACTAATCTGTTTTACTTTTTCTTCTTCATAATTTTAGAAAAGGCATCTTCACCAGCAGTGCAAGACATTCCTGCTACCCATCCCCGTGAGTCACCATATTTCTAAGTTTGATCTGAGACAGAGGAATCAATCAGAATCAGAATTTGTTTTTTGACAGCTTGTTGCCAAGCAACAGTGACGAGAAAAGTTGTATCTCTTTGTCTTAGCGTTTTTAAGCAGATTAGTATAGAAATTCACTAGAGTGAGATTTGATCAGACAACCTCTGAATCACCGTTCAAGTGCTCTATTAGCTGACCTATTTAGCCATATTTTGCATTCTTCTGATTTGTATGCCTCTTCACAGAGCAAATTTCACTATTCTTACTTATTAGTACTCAATAATTAGGAAAGAAAGGCATAAAACTCTGTGTGTATTTTCATGTCAAAATATCCGGTAAACTTCCCAACATTTTTATTGGATTTTTTACAATTATTTTTTCCAGTATGATTACGATTGATCGAGTTGTTGGTTGTTGAATGGTACGGTTGGATTTGCTTTGGTTCAAAAGCCACCCAAAAACCCACATTGTTTGCAATTAACCGTATTTTCAGATGAACTGTTGCAATTACATCAGACTTTACAGTCTTTTCAACCCTCTGATGCTCGCCCCGGGGCAAATTCACCCCTACTCGTTTAACACTACAGTTTTCGTCCCGGGATAAGATTTTTCAACCCTGGTCCCCAGCAGGGTGAGCTCGCTCCAGGGATGAGCAATCTTGGGGGTGGCTGGGGGTGGCGCAGGGATGACAATTTCAAGTGAGAAACGTGGAACGGTTGGATTTGCTGTGGTTCAAAAGCCACCCAAAAACCCATATTGTTTGCAATTAACCGTATTTTCAGATGAACTGTTGCAATTACATCAGACTTTACAGTCTTTTCAACCCTCTGATGCTCGCCCCGGGGCAAATTCACCCCTTCTCGTTTAACACTAAAGTTTTCGCCCTGGGGAAAGTGTCTCGCCCTGGGGATAAGATTTTTCCACCCTGGTCCCAAGCAGGGGTGAGCTTGCCCCGGGGATGAGCAATCTTGGGGTGGCTGGGGGGTGGCGCAGGGATGAAAATTTCAAGTGAGAAACATGGTTTATTTTAACCTCCATGTCGCCCCGGGCCACCCCCGAGATTTGGTCTAGTGAGAAATGGCCTATTGCTCCAATGCCAAACCCCTGTGTATATAGTCTTGGCCCAAGATGTCAGTGATCAAGAGAGATAGTTGCATTGTTGTGTAGCGCACTTGCATAATTGATTTTGTACTTTCTCTCACCAATATCTTGGTCATTTCGTAGCAATGGGGCGTGGCCATTTTATGTAAATAAGACTGTCTGTATAAATTTGAACAATCATAGTCATTTTTATAGCTCCATGCTTGATCACCGCACGTATAGCGCGAATGTCCACAACCGTCAGGTGAGCCATGAAACCTTTTTTTCAATCGCTAATTGGTTCCCTATAAAGTGATGGTGCTCGATCACCGCACATAGGCCAGGGCGTACGTTTACAACCATTGGGCGAGCCATATAACCTTTTCTCAGTCGCTGATTGATTCCTTAGGAAAGCCTGGGAAAAACACTAAAGAAAAAGTTAAAACCACTGAAACAAAATGGCTAAGAATTAGTGCAAGTACATGTATATAGGGCTGCCGGTCTAATTGTTGTGCCATTAGAGGGTATATATATGCATCCTCCACTATCGATCAATAGCGTCGTGTGCCAAGACTACTGTGTGTGCTGTTGTACAGTGTACTGATCGTTAATACTTGGCCAAAATATTAGTTATGACAGAAAGTGTAATTACTTAAGTGGAGTATTCACTGTATTTACTGTACACAGACATGTAAATGCACAGTCGGGACAAAGGTTTTTGGTTTGCTTTAACGGCAATTTCACCATTATGAAAGGTACATATCAGTGACAAAACCAATAAACCATTATACCTAAATAACAATTTAGAAAAATGATCCACAACTCCTAGTCTGTTTAGTCTCCTTGACCATGACCAGGTAATGGCTGTACATGTAAAAGATTCGATAAATACATTGTCAGGTTTATTCACTGAGCTTTTAAAAGCTCTGTATAATACTGACATGACATTCAATTGCCCATAACCAGAATTTGTATTTGCAGTATTTGTATTAATCCTAACTCCCTAGGGGTTTTTGCTAGGACTAGTGCAGTGCCCGTCTAAAATGTGCATGTTCGGGAAGGGCAAATTTCTTTGCCGCTGGTATTGGTTGCATGTTTTCACAGGTTGAATGCACTCACGTCAAAGTTTGTGCCAAATTTGAAGTTGTTTAGGCTAGTGGTTTTCGAAAAAGCTGCAAAATAATAGCGCAGATATTTACCCCTTCTGGACAATGGTATTGCCCTGCAGTAAGGATGCTCAGTCGACCACCTAATGTGCCCGTGTAGCCACCACGTACGTGTACATACGGAAACATGGTATGCAGTGCCATTCACCCACATTGGACAATATGGTATCGCCCTACAATGCACGTGCGCGTGCCCGTCCTTTTTGCATTGTTTACGTCATATTGAGTACGTGCACTTTAGCCTAAAACATGACGTAAACAATTGAAAAGAACATCAGTGCGTGGTGGTCTAGGCTATAATTTGCCACGTTTGCCTCAGAAAATGTTGCTCTTTTGCAGCTTTTTCGAGAACCGCTCGTCCAAACAACTTCAAAGTTGGCACTACACATTCTGGTGTCCCGTTCAAGACACCCGCCGATTTTCAACTTCATACAATGCCTGGTTCTGGAGATAATCGAAATACAGACAGACAGACACACACACACAGATTCCTGGAATTATAGTATAGATGCAACCTCAGTCCTGCAAAATCCTCCAACTGCCTTCATGTAAAAATCGCATACAGCCTTAATCCTGCAAAATCCTCAATTATTTCTTTATAATGTGGTCCTTGGAGGGGTGACCATGCCTCAATCCTGCAAATCTTCCAGCAATCACTGTCAATTGGTAGAGGCTGAGCCAGTGACATCCTGGAGCAGTGCAGATGATGCACCCATATATTTTGCACTAAATTT